AGAGAAGAGAGAGAGAGAGAGAGAGAGAGAGAGAGAGAGAGAGAGGAGAGAGGAGAGAGAGGAGAGAGTAGAGAGAAAAGGAGAGAGAGAGAGAGAGAGAGAGAGAGAGAGAGAGAGAGAAGAGAGAGAGAGAGAGAGAGAGGAAGAGAGAGAGAGAGGAGAGAGAGAGATTCATATATGTAAGTCATATGTATAAATGTGAAATTACTTCCTGTTTCTAGTCTCGCATTATCTCACACTTATAAATGTAACCTTGAAGTACACACGCATATTTCGGCTCTCTGATATTTTTATTTTTTATTATTGCATCATATTCTGCTATTGATGTTCTCGGGCACGTAGTGTATATGTTAGTCTCTGCAATTCGCGTTATGTTTTAATGCATGTGTCTAGTTGTTTAACATAGTTCCCAAAATAGTTTCAATTTTTATCAATGAAAAAATCACTTATTGTCATCGTCCCCAGCTTTTGCGAGTTTCAGTTGCTTTGTTGTTTTAATGTTTACGACAATGCAGCACACTCTGAATAACATGTTAGTGTTCTTCATCATTCATGGATTTGAGTAGCCGTTGAATTCCATTAACATGGGACCCCCAGCGAGTCTCCCAGCCGCGATGCCGTGGGGGCCAAGGAAGCCATCGCTGGTGACAGTTCGGACTCGCTCACGGCCACGCCGCCCGACGAGGAGTGCCGCGCCTTCAAGGACATGTGTTTCCTCGCCCTCGCCTATAGCGCCAACCTCGGGGGCACAGGCTCCCTCACAGGCACTGGCCCGAATCTGGTCACCAAGGCAGTTTTGTCGAGGTCTCTGTCAGTGGCTCTCTTTGACTGCGCCTTAATCTGTTCTAATCAACAGCACACAGTTACGGACTGCCATTTTCTGCTCTCTAAAGCATGATTTACTTTTTAAAACGTACGCGATAGATTCACAATAGAGTGCTTTGGTTCGTGCATGGAAGATTTCCGGTGGCGGTAAAAGAAGAATCTTATTCAAGCTTGAAGCAAAGTGCAGGGTGGCTTTTCTCTTCTGTTTTTTTTCTTTTTTTCGAAAAAGTGGTTAGTTTTCATACGGAAGGTAAGAGAACGTCGTCTAGTGCCTGCATTTTACTTGTATAAAAAAGTTTTCAGGCACAGCATGGGAATGATGTGTGTTGTTTGTTTGTGTTTGTGCGCCCTTCAGAGAGCTGGCAGTCATACAGGAGAAGAGCCAGCAGGAGGACGTGCAACTAAAATCAGAGAAAGAGCAAGAGCAGCAAGAACAGAAGAAGCCGAAAGAGGAGCAGGAGCGAATTCCGATCGAGGACGAAGCTGCTGTGCTTCTGAAGACGCCGCACAAACCGGAGCGAATGCAGCCCATTTTCTGCATGTCCTACCTCGGCCTCGCCTACGCGGCCAACATCGGCGGCACGGGCGTCGTGACCGGAACGGGGCCCAACCTTGTCCTGCTCAGCACCCTCAAGAGGTTCTGACGCCTCCCGCGCCGGTTCATCGTCGGCGGGATTGGAATGTCTCGGTTTGCCATGACTAACAGCCGTAACAGTAAACGCTAGAGGATGCAGACCCTGTTATTAATCCGTTAAAATGTGTTTTGTCTATTCAATTTAAATTGGTTTTCTGCGCACAATGTATAAAACGGAAACTCGTTGTGGCGCAACATATTGACAAAAGGGCACCAGAAATTTTCAAAACTATCCTGTCTCTTCTTTTATAAATCTATTTTTTTTTTCATTTTCTGTTTTGTTTACCATGATTCGTTTACAGAAATGCCATTTTCTTCATTAATTTAAGTAATAACAGTTGGGGATTTCGCTTACAGACTTTTCCACTATTTCTGGCTGCTAATACCTATGTTATTTTCTTAAGTAGTGTTTAACCTTTTGTAAAGGCATTCTAACCCAAACTTTAGTTCCTTATCAAATCAGAATGAAGCTATTATTACTGTAACTTTCTTCCCGACTTATATTGCCCGACTGGTTTGTAATTTGTCAAAAATATAGCCTACTCACAACTGATTTGAGTAAGCTTAGATAAGCTTTCTTATATTCATTAATTGATGATAAAGAATGCATACTTTCAATCGCAAATTTCCTTGCCAACAAGTGAAGGGAAGGAGACAGAAATCGAAGACATTGCCGATGTCGAGAGCGAAGGAGACGGCCAGGAGGGGCTGACTGCGGCTACTCTGCTGCGACGTTCTCTCCTGCTGGGCGTGGCCTATTCCGCCAACATAGGGGGCACTGGGGTTATCACTGGCACCTCACCCAACCTCGTGGTCATGGCAGTTCTGAGCGAGTAAGTCGAGTCTCTTAGGGAAAGGAGTGGCGGCGTCTCTGGAGGACCCGTAACAATGAAGATGTCTTTTGGGAGGTTGAATTGTCCTTGCAACCTTCCCCGGGAAATGTTTTATTATCATTATTACTATTATTATTATTACCGAATTCGACGTCGGAGAAAGAGGATGGCCAAGGAAGACAAGAGAAAAAAAAGACGAAGAGCAGCTTTTCTTCCTCCTCACTTTCACCCATCTAATTGCCAAAATTTGGCCCACTCAGCGTGGTTTGTCCAGCTGACGGCAAGTGCGAGGAAAAGCGAGGAGATGCACAGGAAGATCACAGCATGCGCATGATGATTTACTTCTCCATCATGTACGCAGCGGACGTGGGAGGAACCGGCGTGATCACAGGCACTGGCCCCAACATGGTCCTCAAGGCCGTCCTGGAGGAGTAAGTGATCGTCGAAGTTCACCCGGGTGCGTTCGCCTGTGCAGCGGGAAATTTACAGTTACCATAGCAGGGCATATATCACAGTCAGTGTTTGCAAGAAGTCTATTATTGGAAGTTTTCTTGCGAGATGCCTGATTTTTTTTCAAAACGATGATTAATAACATTACTCTAGAAAAAAAATCATCCAGTGCTTTTGCATCGTAACGTTTGTCCTGTACATACTGTAAACATGTTTGGGAGTATATGGATATGGCTGAAGGCACACACCATTGATAACTTGTGTTCGTGGTACCTAGTAGTACCTCGCTGGAATTGTCTGCCCACGACACGCGGAGGTTAAGGACCCGCTTCCGCCATTGTGTGACACGACGCGTGAACGTCTTTGCAAGTCGCTGTTGGATGGAAAGCGGATGAGTGAATGCGAGGCTTTGCGTGTGCGTACTCTGTCCCATTTACAGAAACGTGAGTGTGGTGGTCTTTGCCTTTGATTTGAATTAAAGCGCCTGGATAGTGTTCGGAACAAGATGACAAGCTTCCCGAACGGACAAGAAACATATCCTTCCCTCTTATATGGGGAATGCGGCGAGAGCAGAAGCAGCATCTCGATGATATTTGAAAATAATGCAGGTGACATTGAATACATGTGCCAAGAGCGCTGCGCCCCAGGTAAGTGCTGCCCCGGACTTTCAATGCAGCTCGCGTGGGTGCTTAACTCTGCATGTTTTGTGCATGACTGCTAAACGCACGTGTACCGCTGCATGCCAAGGTAAACAAGCATGCGACAACTCAGCCTTTACATGGGAATGCTTGAAATGATTAGCATTCATATGATACTGTTTATGCTTTGGAAACAATATGCATTTACTAGCATGCATTATGAAGCTGTCTATAAACGCTTAAAATGTTAGCTGAATGTCTAGATTAGTTGTACATTAAATTATTTTTATATTTTTCTTGCATGGACACGACCAACCCATTATTGCTCTATTCACACATTAAATTTTATATAACAACTGAGAAATAATAAATGCCAATATGCAGGTAAACAATTATAAATTATTTCTTATCGAATTTTCCTCTCCTCCCTTTCCCGACCTCTCTCTTCCCCTTTCGTGGCAATTTCCTGTACCTCTCTCTTGCTTTTGCTTTCTCACTTTCACTTTCTCTCGATACTTCCCTCATTTAACTTGTCCATTCTCCATTCTCTCTCCCTCGCCGCCTCTCCCTTCTCCCCCTGCCTCCCTTTCCTCTCCTCTTCATCCCCCTGCCGCCCTTTCCTCTCCTCTTCTCCCCCTGCCTCCCTTTCCTCTTCTCCCCATGCCCCCCTTTCCTCTTCTCCCCCTGCCTCCCTTTCCTTTTCTTCCCCTGCCTCCCTTTCCTCTTCTCCCCGTGCCTCCCTTCCCTCTTCTCCCCCTGCCTTCCTTTCCTCTCCTCTTCTCCCCCTGCCTCCCTTTCCTCTCCTCTTCTGCCCCTGCCTCCCTTTCCTCTCCTCTTCTTCTCCCCTTGCCTCCCTTTCCTCTCCTCTTCTCCCCCTGCCTCCCTTTCCTCTTCTCCCCCTTCCTCCCTTTCCTTTTCTTCCCCTGCCTCCCTTTCCTCTTCTCCCCGTGCCTCCCTTTCCTCTTCTCCCCGTGCCTCCCTTTCCTCTTCTCCCCCTGCCTTCCTTTCCTCTCCTCTTCTCCCCCTGCCTCCCTTTCCTCTCCTCTTCTTTTCCCCTTGCCTCCCTTTCCTCTCCTCTTCTTCTCCCTTGCCTCCCTTTCCTCTCCTCTTCTTCTCCCTTGCCTCCCTTTCCTCTCCTCTTCTGCCCCTGCCTCCCATTCCTCTCCTCTTCTTCTCCCCTTGCCTCCCTTTCTTCTCCTCTTCTCCCCCTGCCTCCCTTTCCTCTTCTCCCTGCCTCCCTTTCCTCTTCTCCCCCTGCCTCCCTTTCCTCTCCTTTTCTCCCCCTGCCCCCCTTTCCTCTCCTCTTCTCCCCCTGCCTCCCTTTCCTCTCCTCTTCTCCCTTGCTCCCTTTCCTCTTCTCCCCCTGCCCTCCCTTTCCTCCCTTTCCTTCCTCTTCTCCCCCTGCCTCCCTTTCCTCTTCTCCCCCTGCCTCCCTTTCCTCTTCTCCCCTGCCTCCTTTTCCTCTCCTTTTCTCCCCTGCCCCCTTTGCTCTCCTCTTTCTCCCCTGCCTCCCTTTCCTCTCCTCTTCTCCCTTGCCTCCCTTTCTCTTCTTCCCCCTGCTCCCTTTCCTCTCCTCTTCTTCTCCCCTTGCCTCCCTTTCCTCTCCTCTTCTCCCCTTGC